TTTTTCTAACCCAGGGTTGAAAAAGCGTCTTGGAGGGTTGAAAAAAAAAGGTTAGGGTTGAAAAAAAATGTTGGAGGGTTGAATAAACATCCAGCCCCAACAAAAGCCACCAAAAGTCAGACCATCAGAAGACAACAGAAGCCACCAAACGCGTGAAAAAAGATCCCCGAAAAAAGTCCTATATATAAACAAGACTGGGATTTGCAACAAAAGATTCCCCCAGAACTACAAGTTCCCCAAACTTGGTGCGAACCGCTCCATCCGCGCGAAGCCGCAACTCAGCAGTCCGCCTGCAGCAACTCCTCTTCATCCACGGGAACCTCGAAGCCTCGCTGCACCACTGGCCCTGAGAGACCCAGCCAGAATCTCATGTTGCTATCCTGAGGAGGCGATGCTCACGAAGTACCCGGGTCCCGTGGAACACGGCAACCGCCCGGGTGTTCTCTAAGAATGAACCTGTAATTAAACAGAACGGGCTAAGCTCTAAACATGGTGTGGCAGTCTCAAGCCGACTGGCAGATCATCTGAGATGAAACAGTTCGAAGAGTTGACTAGGTGAGACACTGAAAACCATTGACTTTCCCTCATCATCCGAGCGTCAGCCTCCTCCTCAACAGCTTGAACCTTGCCCCATGCGATGTACAATCGCACACTCTTTCTACCAAATGTGACCGTTTCCTCCTTGGATGAACTTGGAGATGCGGATGTCTCCTTCAACTCGGGCGATGAATCGCCCCCCTGGGCCACCTCCATGAGCCTTGCATGTGCGGCACTCAGTCGCTCATTCAGCGTTGGCCCATAGGGTCGGGGCCCCTGGCGAGCCATGCAAAACCACTGCGAGCGCCTCACATGAAATGGCCCGTGCCGCTCCAACAGCCCGCCGCCGTAGCGTTCCCGCAGCACCCCGCGGCTGCGACCGGCACCGAACAAGAAGACTTCCGCGCGGCCGAAGAAGACCACGGCGGAAGGGTGAGCGGCGGGCAGGTCCGGCAAGGGCTGCAGTGGGGGGGCTGGCCTGGTCTGGAGTCTGGATAGAAACTTCGCTGGAATTGGCCCAACTTAGGGAATGAGCGTGAGACTAGGCCAGCCTCGTCCCGGAGTGGAGTTCCCAGGTGTTCCATCAACTGGTGTCCGCTAAGAGGTGAATCCCATCACTCCTTAAAACTCAGAAATCAGATTTGAATGGTACTGTGAGTCGAGGGCCTCTCTGACTATCTTAGTCTTACTCTTGACTCTTGGGAGGCTTGATGATGGTTTGTTCAACATGTTCTCAGCCTCCTCCTCTTCTCCGTCATCCTCTGCTCCATCCCCAGTGGTGCACGCTGCTTCTGCTCGGGCGTCTTCCAGCCGCGACTGGTCCAAGCGGCTAAAAGCTTTCCAGCAAGGCGCAGATGAGACTTCGTAGTAAACCCACACACCATCCATGGCTCACGCGAGGCATTTTTCCCCCCATGTTGCAGCACCCTGACGCCCGTTCATGGGAAGAAACCCTCACTACCTCGGGAGAACCACCGCACTTGCAGGTTGCAGCTTTCTTTGGAGGCTCCAGGTGCTGCATGAGTTCTTTGATCAACAGTAGGTCAATGTATCAACTCTGTCCCAGCCTGTGGCTGGTCAAATGTAGAGGTCTGCTGGGGTGTCGTGCCCGTCGTCCACTTGTTGCTCTAAACCGACTCTCCCTCAAGCGCTCCTGTTGAATTCTCTGCGGTCTTGAGGCAGTCACGTCCCATAACATCCAAATCAGCGGAGCTTCGGGAGATTCAGGAGACCGTCAGGAGATTCTCTACATCCACTAAGTAGTATGGCCACAGGCCGGATTATATAATGTTTATCATTTTGGCTGTTGACAAACATACCGTAACAACCCCCCCTATGGATGGTCAAGCATCTCCATTGCAATTGATTTGACAGTATCAATCATCAACGGGAGGAGATCCGTGAAAATTCATGAGGGTCAGTTAGGGTAAGAACCTTTAACCTTTTCAGGAGCAGAAGGGTGAGTGTGGAAACCCAAAAGATGTGCTGTCTTTGAGGCACCTCTGTTCTAACATGTGCCTCAGTGCCCTTAGGTCTGATAGAAACTCCACCCCGTGAGGGGCTCGCCCTTCCTCATGGATATGCAGCACCCGTCTGGCAACAGAATCATGCAAGAAGTTATTATAGACTGAGATCATGAACGCAGCTTGCAATGCACCAACCCCAACACACTTGGACATCCATAGTGTATTACATACAAACAAACAGGTGCAGCACCGACATGTTGGTGGAGAGCGTCACGCCTGATTCCCCACGCCAACTCACGTGGACCCCCCCCGTGCTTTGAGGACAACAGTCTTCCATGGGGTCATTGTCCCCTTCCATGTGAGCGAGTCGGAGTGTCATGGAAGAACAAATGCTAGAACATGTTAGAAAATCCTCCCGTTGTTAGAACAAAACATTGCATCTCGTCCAAGAAAGAACGTGCCACTTCCGTGCCTGTGTCGAGCCCCAAGAGCCGCAGCGGAAGTCGGAGGCGGTGATGCTACAACAGTCCTTGCCTGGAGAGCCAGTGCTAAACATCTTCGACCGAGGCACCTGCGGGTGCCAAGTATTGCTCAAGCAAAGGGCCGAATTCCTAGATTCCGCTTCACCGGCTGTGCCGGAAACCAATAATGGCAGGGGTGCCCAGTGCCAGGCCAAGGAGATATATACTAGTAGTAGTATGCTCCTAGTAGTAAGGCCAGGAGCTACGTTCGTAGCGTCCGATCGCTCCTAGCTTGTTACTACATCCTTCCCGGAACCCCAAGACGTGGACCTTCACCTGTTGCCTTCATCCTACCGTCCGGCCGTCCGGCGGAACCCCGCACCGACGGCCCAGAAGTCATAGGTCTGCCGCAAGGGCGCGAGGCCGCCGGGGCCCACGATGGGGGCGACCTTCATTGCGATGGATGGTCGAGACGATCATGTGAAAACGCGAGGGTGAGGGACTGCGTGGATGGTCTTAGTCATTGGGGAAGGACCCGAAACCCTAAGGCCAACACTGGCTGTCGTGGATCTGACGATTTACATCCAAAAGGCTCATGAGGAGAGCGACAGGTCATGTTCTCTTTTTGAGGCAGCCAGCTTTGGAGGCATTTAGAGATGTCAGAACCACGAAGCACTGAGGAGCCGGCACAATACAAGGTGCCTTTCCTTAGTCAAGATCAGATCTTTGTCATCTGCATCTGGATCGCGGTGTCCCAACTGCTCCAATGATCCAGCATGCCATCAATTGGGAAACTTATGCAATCTTGGAGTCATTGTGAGAAAATTAATCATGGCTGAGAGTCATCGTCTAGACTGAACATGTACATTCAAACAATTGCTGTGCCCCTTCTAGAGTTTGGAACCCCAGTGGCTGGGAGAAATCCAAATAAACTATTGGTAGTTGAAGCCATGCTGGCTTGGGGTTCCCCTAAGGTCCGTAAGACAGTCTGGTGAAGCCTGCTGCCTTAGGCGCCGACTACCAAAAGGCTTTTGGCATGCGCGTGAGGATTGTTTTTATGTCATGGCTGGTGCGAAGTGCTTTGTCCAGGGGCAAGTGCAAGGCTTAGGCATGGTCGCTAGGGCCCACACACAGCCGCAAACAATGACAGCCGAGCTAAATATAACTACATATACGTTGCAAAACAAAATCTATCTACCTATCTAATCTAATCTAATCTAGTCTAATCTAGTCCAGTCCAGTCTAGTCTAGTCTAGTCTTATCTATCTATCTACCTAGCTATCTGTCTGTCTGTCTATCTGTCTATCTATCTCTCTATCTATCTATCTATCTATCTATCTCTAGATCTATCTATCTATCTATCTATCTATCTATCTATCTATCTATCTATCTATCCTATCTATTTGTCTATCTATCTATCTATCTATCTATCTATCTATCTATCCTATCTATTTGTCTATCTATCTATCCATCAATCTATCGATCTATCCTATCGATATATCGATCTATCGATCTATCTATCTACCTACTTGAGGCCGAGGGTTGGTAACGAAAGCTGGCAGGGCGGGGGTGAAGCGAATGACAGTCGGCCCACTACGCCAGCGGAAATGCACACGCCCCAGAGACGTTCCAGGGAGGAATTGGCGCTCTCGAGCATTCCAGCCCCTCACGTGCTAAAGCAAGAACAACTCCAGCTAGCTGGTGCTAGCTTTTGTGATCTATCTATCTATGGCCTGTTGTGTGGCCATTCTAGCTACAAACAAAAGTGTGGGCGTATGCGGTACAGCTTGTCTTTCTTCTATCCTATCCCACCTTCTTTCATCTCCCCACTTTCACCCCTCCCATCTCATCCCAACTGCACATGGACGCCCCGTCCCGCTCCGAGGCGCATGAAGTGCCAGGTCCTCCGGGCATCGAAGGTGGAGCCGGCCTGGAAGGTCACCATCCCTGCATCCATGACCTCGGCAGCGGGGCACCGGATCGGGGCGTCCGGGTTGCCCAAAGCTTTGGGCCGGGCATCGAACACGCCACTTGCGCCACTTGGTGCTCTCGTTGTGAGTATCTCTCAAGGGTGTCAAGGGTTTGAATGGTTTGAGCATTGTCAAGGAGATGAGTGTATGATAGCTCCTCCCTGGATGAGGGATTTTACGAAGTCCACCAACACTTTGGAACTGGAAAACAATACAGCAAGCTCCATCGGCCGCGCGGTGAATATTGGGTGTTTTTCTGAAAGGTCATCTCTAGTCTTCTATTCTCCTCAGGACAACCTTTAAACTTTATACTTTGCACTATTACACAGTCAGCACACCAGGCAAAGCTAAGTCACTATTAGCTTTGCCTGGTGTGCTGACTGTGTGCTGCCACTTTGATTTGCATCATGATGTCCCAATCTGGATGAATGACTGGGTTGGACGTCCCACTGCTCAAACGCTCGCTGCCTGCATCATTTGGGGATTCTACCTCTACAGCGCCCTGCAGCGGTATGCTGCACAGTCGATGGACAAACTTCAGGAGAAAGCAAATGTCGCATGCCACTGGCTCCAAGCTCCTGGTCCCCTGGTTGACCACCCATCCTTGAGCACCCCAAATGCACCGAGGGGCGTCTTCGCCCGACAGGGTCACCGGGTCAACGCCGGTGCCATTGGGACCACTGGCGTCCTGGTGATGCACCGGAACGACCGGACGGTCGGCTCTAAGATCAGGTGCTGCAGGACGCAGCACGCAACTACATGGTGTCGAGTGTCGATTCAGCAAAACTGGGTCAATCATGGTCACACACTCTCTCTCTCTCTCTCTCCCCCCCTCTCTCCCTCTCTCTCTCTCTCTCTCTCTGTCTCTCTCCAACTCTGAGAGGCACACCGACATCTCTAGCAGGGTGTAGTATGGAGCTTCATACTGATGCAGGTTGGACAACCTCAGGGCGCGCAGAAACGGGCACTGCTCCCGGTTTGTCTGGCGCGGTTTGTCTGAGCCTTGAAGGAGGTCTACTGGCAGTGTATATATGTGGCCTGGCAGTGCATATACACAATATGATGTCCATACAAACTCGAAAACACAAAACTAGATGTCAGAGTACAAGGCATTGATACCTGGACCTACACCTGATACATGCATGATAATACATGCATACAAATTACAAATTAACGCATATATTTATATATAGCTATTAAACAATCTGAGAGGAAAAAGAGCAAAGAAAAAAGGTCTATATGTCTTTACTCCATGTTATTCCAAAGTCAGCGTCCCTTGCCTCGGTTCCCGGGCCCTGCAATGATGCCCCAAGCAGCACAAATGGCTGCCTCAGGGCCCCAAACCGTCGGGTTGTTCACGGATGTGTGAAAACCAACCCGAATGTGTCCTTTTCCGACTGAGAACGCGGCCAAGATGGTGAAGAAGGTGAACCAAGTCGGGTCCTCATTTCGCGCATCTCCACTGCAGTCTTCAACTCCAGTGGAGTAGACAGGGGTGAATGAAATCGAGACTTGGGAAGACGAAACCTCCCAAACCTCCACAGTTGGCTCCTTCGGATCGCTTCCATAAGCCTATACCTTCTAAGATCCTTCAATTGGGTCCGGCTGACCTGGTCTTGTCGTCCAATATCCTTAGTAAAGCAATGGTTGTTGGGCAAGACCCCAAAAAATTGGAATTCGGTTGGAATCCCAGGGGTAAGATTCAACAACACTCTTCCAGGCTGGATCTGAAGCCTCCCGGCCGGGTCGTACTTTCGAGCACAGAAAGCGACCAGGACGAAGAGGAACCAAATGAGGAAAACCACCGAGATGCCTAAGCCAGGCATGAAACTGCTGGCAGTGAAGGGAACGATTGGTCATGAGTTCTTCATGAATCTTGGCTTGAAAGTTGTTCGGTGTCTTAGTTTAGTTTAATCAGTCATGGTGGTTGCACAAGCTGCGAACGATTTTTTGGGGGGAGTCGATGGCCTGCTCTGAGGACCTGTGTTTTTGTAGCTGCTCCACTTTCTTGGAAGAAACATGACGAAACCCGCTGCTCCTGCACAACCTCGAACCCCAAATCAGAAAAGACTATTGGAATCTATTTGGCCATCAAACAAAACACCGCACTGAGGCCCCTGCAAAGCCACGCGATCAGTGGCATCCTCAGCAAAATGCGAAAACCGGTGGCAAAGCGCCGGTGAGACTGAGACCATCAAATGTTTCGGCAGGACAGGGCCTGCTTTGCCCCAAATCATTATCCGACCTTGCAGGTAAGTCGACCGATGTCCGCGTGTGAGACGGTCGGTTCTTGGCCTCGTCCCAAAAGTGGTCGAAACTTGAGGCATGAGGGATTAGTTGGCCATCGCGCAAATGTCTTATAGGATGGCCTTGAGCCTGTGGAGTTGAAGATGCCAAAAAAAAGAAACACTTGTTGGCGTGTCGTGCGAGTATGTGAGAATCTACCCGCTCTGCTGATGACTCGATTCAGGCCCCGGCGAATACATCAGGTAGAAGGAGCTCAGGCCGAAGCAATATACGTAGATCTCAGCACATGACCAGAAATGCTCACTTCTCCTGAAGGTCCTGAAAGATATACATTATACTACTGCTACTACTACTACTACTACTACTACTACTTACTCCTCCTCCTACTCCTACTACTCCTACTCCTACGACTACTACTACTACTACTACTCCTACTCCTACTGCTACTGCTACTACTGCTACTAGTATTGCAGTATTGAGTAATTTACCGGCGTCGGATTTGACACTGATTTTGAGGTGCAGTCGCTGCATTTTCTTAGCCAAATGGATGGTCTGGCGTTTCGCAGAATCAGCACGGGTCTCTCAGTATGGACTCACCACAAGTGTACCATAAGTACAACTGCTAGGAAAGTGAATAGAACAGAGAAAAGGAAAGGCGTGTCACGAGAGTCATTTGATCGAGGGATGAGTTGGCGTTGACATGAGCTTGACGCATTACCTACTGCCCTGAATCTCCGCAAGTCGCGCTATACATGTAATATTCAATATTGATGAATCTTGTAATTACAGTAGGTACTAGATTGTGGATAGTATATGTCTTGTGGTACTAGATTGTGGATAATCTTGTCATATCTCGTCTTGCTAGATCTGACGTTCGATTGTGGACAGTTCCGAACTCCATGGACTGGATCTCCCGCCGAAATTCTTCCGCCCCGCCCAAACCACAGCCCACACAAGTGTCTTCAAGTGGTGCTGATTTTGCAGCTGATTCGGAACCCGACCCTGCAGAAAGCTGCCTGCAGGCGAAGTCACTCCCCATGGAATAAAGATGTTCAGGAACATTGGCACAATGTTCATTCGCCTTGGAGGCGGACAGTCGTCTTCTCGAAGTCGAGAAGAATGTCCAGAGCTCTCTGTTTTAAGACTTTAAGAGAAAACCAAGGTACATACTCCTCATGCCTGGACTCTAGTAGCTTGGCTTGGGCTCTAGTTACTTCAGTTGTTCCACCGCGTCTCCTTCCATGCTTTGGTCGTTCTCACAGCCTATCACAGCCGAAAAACAACACGCTGAAAAACATATTCTGTGGCGCAGGCATTCGGTGGCCGGGGGAGAAGAGTGCAGGCGGCTTCTGAGCACGGGGTGGTTTCTGCTCCGTTGGCGGTCATTTGTTTCATGTTCTATCATGTTCTCGAGTAGTCTTTGGAGTCTTCACAACTAAAAGCCTACAAAAAACAGCAGCGGATGGGCCCATGGCTGACCTGGATCTATTCTCAGATCCACTGGGAGAGCAGATCTTTCTCAGGAACCTCATCCCCTGCAAATAAGGAGTGCTTCGAACGGCGGGGCTGAAAGGAGGCCAGTCGGTTGTTGGTTCCGAACCTCCTCCGTGCGGCCACATGGCAACAGTCACATCTCTGCAGATGAGTTTGATGAGTTTTGGTGGATTTGGGACATCGAGTGGCAGCGAGTGGCCCCCCTCCTGACCAGTGGTATCCATCCCTCCCTGGCCTCGCCACTTGCAATGGCCGTGTCCCTGGTCGCGCTCGCAGTGACGGAAACACGGAGAGCGCACCTTGAGCAGTGGGGTGACCTCTGCCGCGTCCATTCTTTGTTCTCCATACCTGGCCGAGGAGTCTCAAGTCCCCCGCTTCTATCAGGAAGGCCTGCGAAGCCTCTTTAGGTGACCTCTGCAGGATCTGGATATCCACGTGTTCTGGAGCTATCTTGCAACCTCAGCCTTTGGTGATACCTCAGTCGGAGGCCTTCCAAGACCACACGGAAGGCCTAGAAGACCGCAGAAACCGCGGTTGAAACACTGCGCGAGGCGAGAGATCGAAAACCACTGGCACTCCGGTGATCCTGGCGCTTCACACATCCGAACACCGGAATTGTTCTGAAGATGAGAGGACCACAAATGTCGAACCCACCACCAGGTGTTCATCTCTGTCTAGTGCATGCGTGCTATGTCTGGATCATTTCTAGATAGAGAGGAAAAAGAGAAAACGCCCCCCAAAAAAGAAGATATATATATATATAAACACCAAAAAGTTTGAAGAAGTTGGAGTTGGGACGCCCAACACTTCTCCAACTTCTCCATCTTCTCATACCCCTCCTGCTCAGTCCGTGCGTCCGTGCCCCGTCCACCAGGCGCGCTGGGCGTCCCGACATCGGGTCCGGGACTCGCAGGTCAGATGTGACACCTCATGGGCGATGCGTGGGGGGGCTGGAAAGACCTACACTTCCCTGGGAACTAACCTGGATGTGGATGGCAGGGCCCCAAGTTCGGAAGACCATGCCATCCACTACAAACAGGTGGTGGTTTTCCACTTCCATGGTAGTTTCAGGATGTTCCAGGGAGAGTCAATCTGACCGCGGCCGAACTTGATTCTGACTGGTTTCAACGCATTTTATTGGGCTCTGCCACGGAAACGGGGAAGTGCAAGAACTCCTTGGACCTAGCTGGTAGGGGAAACTTCTCGTCCAGTCTGCAGGAGGGTAGCTGCAAACATCTCCAAACACCTGACCCCGGCTGCTGACCCCGGCAGCTCGCGAGCCTGGAGACCCGGCAGGGATTCACTAACGGAACAACCTTGAGCCAATGGCTCTGCCTTCGAGAAGGCCTCTCAGTCAGGAAGCAATCAAACATCGAAGAGCTAGAATAACATGTCTCATTTGGTATCAACCTGTTGAACCTGCTGACCTTCCTACAGACCATGCACGTGGTGGCAATCGGAGCTGAACAAACTGCAATGCAGGCTGTCTACAATTTCCAAATTACCTTCCGGCAAAACCCCGCTCAACAGGTTGTGCTTCCTGACCTTTGCCTCCAAACGATGCTGCCACGTGAGTGGCCGTTGGCACGTATGTGCATCTCATTCCGGCAAGTCAATAAGTACTTGAGGACACCAGATCTGGAGAACACCAGATCTGGAGAATACATGAGAATACCAGACGAAGACTGAGTGACTTGCAGTGATCACAAGAAAGGCCGGAAAAGTACAATCCGTCTAATGTTCATGGTGGGTTTTCAATCCCCCCATGTGAACAGTCAACTTGAAATATGTATTGAAACTTGTTACTGTTGATTGGGCCCAGATAGAAACATCCCAAAAAGGCACCATCTCGCCAGCCTCGAAAGGCAGCGCGGCCCCGCGCCCCGCCAACGCGGTCGAATCTCTCTGTCCATTCTTTCGAACTCTCGCGGTTCATTTGGAGGGCCAAATGTTCATTGTACACGTCTTGGCGCCTCCAAGTGATAGTCTGGCCATGCAGGGTAGAGCGATCTTTTAGAGCCTGAGACGAGTAGCAACCGCCGAAGATTTTCGGTCGGTCAGCTTTGGGTTTGGGCAGTGGGTTTTGTTGAGTTGTGGAGCTTCAAGAAAACAAACGACAAACGATGAGCTTATGAGGGGGGTCAGTCAAAGCCACTCGTGCAGTCAAAGCCACTCGGCTTGACTCCATCAAGCCCTGACTACAGTATTTTAATGGTCAGAGTGGCTGACAGTTTCTGCCATGCCATTCGGGATACGGATCCTGTGACGAGCACTTCTTGATTTAAACTTTCACAACCGCCGATGATCATGAAAAAAGACTTGCTGGAAACAAGTGGGAACCTCCAAATGCATCCTCTTACCTTGCACCTTGCACAAGCATGTCATGATGTCGTAAAATACGTCTGGCAGACCGCAATCACACGGTGTTCAGCGCGTTCAGTACGAAGAGGAATCATGAGGAACCAAGGTCAAATGTCTTACTTTCTGACTCCCTCAGTTTGCCTGGAAAAAAAGAGCTTAACCTTTTTCACACCCGTGCATTGAGTGGGGAAACCAACCCTCCAAAAAGGTTTTGCAGGCCATCCACTTTGCCTGGGTAGGTCAATTCAGGTCAATGTCTTATCTTTGAATTTCCAGGCCCATCCAATCGTTTGGGGGGAAATGTCGCTGTGGCGGCTGAAGAAAGAACGAATGTACGCTCTGACATCCTCTGACTCACTAACATTAACATGGGAGTGGAAAACGGAACCTGGGATGACTCTTTTCCTCTACGAACAGGACTGTTTGGAGATCCATGTTCGTGAGTTGGAGGATACGTTCTCAAACCTCAACCTAGCCTGCACCGGTGTTGGCATGAATCGCCCAGTGGTTATGGCGATGCTTTGGATTGGGACATGTCTGGAGCTGGATTCGAAGTGCCAGGTAAAGCCCTGGCAACGGCTGTCCACAGGTCCTCAACTAATCTCTGTGCCTAGCACGTCTGAAGAGTAGGCGCCGTTGGGGACTCTGCCGAGACAGTGAGACAGAGTTTTCTTGCCACTGCTGTTGTAAAGCAACACGCTGGTCCACAAGGTCCACCCGCTGGTCCACAAGGTCCACCACCGACCCGTTCAAACGGTCAGACCGGGGGAGACCATGATACGATCTAGCCTATAGCCATATACCGTAGTCATCGGGATTACTCGTCTTCATCTATTGAAACAAAAGCCAGCCCTATTCAGGTAGGTCCCTGCAGGGCCGATTCCACGTCCCTGCAGGGCCGAGGCTGCTCCAAACCAAAACGTTACCGCAGGGATCCAAGAAAGAAACTGGTAGGAACTCACCCAGACACTGAGTGAGTTGACTCACCCAGCCGCTGAGCAAAGACCAGAAATCGCGTTGCACCAATAGTCCGAACAAGGGGCTTGCTTTGTGCTTAATTATTTGGTTCAATGCATCAGCCCTGAGGAGCAGCAAACGCGGCTACCAAATATCGAGTATGAGACAATCGGGGTAGGGGAAAGAGGTTTGGCAGCGCTTATTGATCTGATAGTCCATCTGCAAAATTTTCCTCCACCTCCGATGTGAAATCGTGAGGCGACTGCCTTCACTCGTGTGCTGGTACAAAAACCATCCAAACCCCTCGACCACCTGAATCCGTGTTCGACCACCATGGCGGGTTGCCTTACAGTGACGCCGGGCCGGCACCGCAAGCTGTTCGCGGTGCACTGCGATCACAGAATCCAGCTAGCTTCTCGAAAGCGGAAGGAAGTGAAGGACATAGCCGGTTTTTGAGGTGTCTCATGCAAGTCGGTTCTTTTTTAGGAGGTCTGAGTCTAAAAGGGTTGCTTGAAACACAAGTTAGAATAGGACAGCCAGTCGGATTGGCTGTGCACGTGTAGGCAGGTGTATGCTGCGTAAAGAGCTTCAACTCAGCATGAAGTAGCCACATCCTGTGCCACAGAAGCTCTGCGCCACATGCCAAAATCCCATGAGCCCTCCTTCTCTCAGGATGCTTTTGGCAGGGCAGCAAAAGCGGTCAGCACCAATTCATGGGCTGGTCAAGAGAGTGGTCCCCACAGCATCACCCCAATCAAACCATGGGCCTAAATTGCAATGATAATGATCTGACACCGAGGCACAAATTAGTTGGTTCCCAGTCCAAACAGAAACAGAACAACGTGATAAAGTTGAACACGAATGCACGGTAGGCACGAAAGCGAAACAAACAGCGAACAGGCGTGGTCGAAGAAGGAAAACAGATCTCCTGGCAATTGCGATGAAGCACGCCACAACTTAAAGGTCGACGTCAAGTAGGTAGGAGTTTGTTGCAAATGTGGTGGGTTTGTCATGACAAAGGACACTCATTGCACATGCTCTTCGTGCTGGTTGAGAGCGTTCTAAAAAACCCAACGTGTTCGCGTTGAGACCACCCAGGGTCGGGATAGGAATCCCGAACCGTGGGATCAAAGCTGTGACCATCTCGCTGGAGCCAGTCCATGAACCAAATGGCCCCGGTGCTCCCCCCCAGTGGTGAGAGTGCCCTCTCAGTGTTTGCCCGACCTCAGTGTTTGGCGCAAAGAAAGACGCGGGGTGGAGGGGAGATGAGGGGAGCATCTGTGCAAAAACGGGCCGCAAGACCCCAGGTCAAATGGGAGAGGCCCTCTGCAAACACTTGTAGCTAGTGAAGTCCTTCTTCCAGCTGAACAAAGAACCCCCCCGAGTAATACTGCAACAATCTGCAACAAAGTCCTCCACCGTCTGAGCAGTGCTTCCTTTGCTGCCGTTCTGTCAGACAGGCCACCAATCCACCCGCATGCCGAAAGCCGAAAGCCGAAAGCTGCTCAACTGCCGATGCCCTGAGCTCCCCGACGTGGAGTGCGACTTCACATCACATTTGGGAATCTGGCCAACACTTCCGTCCTGAAGAGCCGAGTCGTAGCGAGACTCGCTCTATGGGTCTTGGGCATGTGGCGAAGGAACTCGGCGAGACCCTTGTGGCCAGTTCGATCTGAGTACAGTGCCAGGCGTGTTGCCATGCACTTCTCCACGTTCTTTTTCAGCACCTGAACAGCCTCAACGGAGTGGAGAATGTGAATACGAACAGTCGACGAAGACAGCGACCGCTTCCTTGACGCCAGCCAGCCAGTCAGGCGGTGTCTCTGAGTAAGTCTGCGACGGAGGCATCATCGTAATTGGTGAACCACACCTGCCCAGGAACGTGCCGCATAACCCTGTGCCACAGGATGCCTGGTTCGATCTGGTTCGCAGTACTTACTCAAATATTATATACTCATCATCTAGTCTCTTTACTTGTTCGGGACTTGTCAAGCCTCTCTTTTCCTTGTGAGGTCCTCTTACCTTCTGCGCTCCCCAGTGTTTAGCACCGAGGATTCACGCTTGAATTTCACCCGTCGCCGTATCCTCATGATGCCAAAACAAGGTGTCAAAGGCCCTCATCGTCCTGTTTTGGGGTGCTGGGGTCCATTTGAGTTCCAATGACTTCATGTGAACGACCCACCAGAGTTCCTTTTGGTCGGTCGACCCCAACTCTCAGGTCGCTCCCTTGGACGCCACGCCGAACACCCGGCCGCTCCCGGCCCTTCGCTCCCGGGCGCCCAGGCCGCGCCTCCAGGCGAATCACGCCGGCGGCCCTCGGACCAGAGAGCTTGTCCACCTAGTGGCGCATGTGTCAGCGGCCACGCGGGCGGGGTGAATACAACATCGATGCACCAATTATAAGCGAAGAGGTTGCTGGATCTTGTACGAGGTAGCCAGCTCATCTGGGTGGATGGCTTCTCACCCAAGATTCCGTGGAAAACGAAGGTGCAGCCGTTTCCACCGGTCGACATCGAGTAAGAGGCCTCAAGATATGTTGGCTAACACTAGCATCTGAGGTTCTGGGTTTATGATGGCTTATGTACCAGTAGTTGTTTTTGGCCTGGCTGATTGGATTATATGTGTTGATTCACAATGCCGTGGGCTTCCCCATGCCAAGAGCTGTGAGCCCATATCATGGGAGCAAGGTGAATCCTCCAAAAAGGCTAAACGTCATCCATTGACTGTGCAGGACTTGCTGCGATGATCCACGAGTCTACGACCTTCACCTCTGTCTCTGCAGCGGCCATCCGCCACTGTGGGCCGTGCCAGGAACAAACAAGGACTTTCTGACATAGTGAATCTATGTTCGAACGGTTTCGCATATAGTCCGGCTGAAACTGTCCAAACATGTCCAAACTCCCAGGCAAAATGCTGAGCAATGTTCTTTTGAGCAGAACATGACCAACAGAATTCTTTTGAGGCACGACCGAAGCCGCGTGTCCTCATCCATCAACCATCCTACGCCTTGAACTCCTCTCCCTTCGTCTGAGTCGTGCCACCAATCGGAGCCCTGTGATCATGTTGGCCGGTTCAATGGTCGCACCGATCATCCCCAATACCAAGTTGTTCCTGGGGCCGGACCGAGCGGCGGTCGCGCGGTCGCGCTGGGGGGGGGAGCGGCCAAAGGCGCCGTCATTGGATGAAGGCGGTGACCATCTGAGTGTGATGAAACAAGGAACCAAATGGAGAAATAGGGTCTAGAGATGTCTAGAGGGTGTGTTTGGGATGTTCGTTTCATGCATGAGACTTGCGAGGGGTCCCTTCCCAGTCAGCCGCAGGATTTGCTGGGATGGATGGGACATGGAACTGAAGACGGCTCCGTAGCCCAACCCCTGCAGATAGCTGAGGGCACGGCCAATACTCATCCACCTGGCTTAACACTAAAACCAAACGAACATGCGAAAAAGATACCATTTGCGCGATGGCATTGGGTCATCGACCCTCGGACTCGGGGGTGTGCAAGCGCCATCAACTGAGGGGAGGGCATCTCCGCCCAGCACTTGGCGAGGCCATGGGCTGCCATGAGCCGCTCCACCCTTAAAGAAAAAGCCGACACATGCTCCAGCTCCCACGCCTGTCCACCACCAATGTTGGGCTTCAACTGGAATTGAAAGTGCCCTCCTTGCGCGTTCATCTTGTCCTGCACCCGGCACTGGACGTTTCGAGGAGGGCAGAAGCCCAAGAAGGAAGCCTCTCCTGAACCATTGTGCACGCCTCCCATACGGCGCCACTGAGTTCAGAGCTCTTCAGCCCAAAAAAAGTCACCCAGAACCACTGTCAGAAGAAAATCTAAAAGACCGCATCTGGCTTCACCCTCGAGTCCATCGCCATCGCCTTGCATCCCTCGTGTCCATCGACTCATTTCAGCCACCCAGACGGCACGGCGAAGGCACGGCACCTCCCACTCTGGGCGAATGTTCTCCCGGAAAATCATCACGGCGTCGATCACGTGCAACCTCAGCGATGGTCGACGATCCGGTGAAGGTGGCGAAGTTAGCATGGAAGTGGATGGCATGTTCGCCTCTGGAGGGGCGGCCACTTTCCTCGACAAACAACGGGTGAACTCCACTTCCATGTTCGTGAGTCAAAGTGTAGGTGCTCCAAAAGCTATTGGAGACAGGATCCATTCTGTCTGTTACTTGGAGGGTTGATCACTGTTTTGCACACAAAGGGGCCAAATGGATGCCTGCTTACACGGAAATGTGGGCGGCCTGCGTGAAGAACCACTGAATCATGTCTTTGCATGTCTCTGCCTGTACAGTAAGTCTTTGCATTTCTCTGCTTGCCTTTTCTTGGAGGGAAGATCCTGAATTCAAAAAAAACACGCCTCATTGGTTCAGCTCCGATCCTGTTGGTCCTGCCTCCTTGCAATGTCGCCCGCTGACGTCCTGTTTGAGCCTGGCCACCCGTCCGGCTGTTCACGTACCATCCGCTTCTGCTCCAAGAGTTCGCTCGGTTGGGGCCTCAGGCTCGACCAAAAAAAGAAGGTCTTCTTTTAGGAGAATTGGAGAGGATTGGCTTGGTGAGGAAATACAGTAGTTTCGAGACAAATGAAATGACATGGAATTCCGCAATTGAAAATTATAGAAATGGAGAGTGTTACTTCATCCATCTTCATCCAAGCCCCTTTTGCTGAGGAAGCGGGTCTTGCAGCAAGTCTTGCATAGGTCCAGGTTTCATGTGAGCTGGCCAGTGGTGTATCGACACCAGAAATGGGGACCATCAAAAGCAAATCAGCCGGTGCCATTCGACTCGAAACGTCTTCTTTTCGCAGCGCAGAGATTGGGAGCGCCTGCTGAGGGAGAGCAGGGGAAGTGCTATGCCGGTTTTAAGATGCACTTATATTGTTCTTCACGGTTTCCAATACATTTTGAGTGGGGTTTTACTTTTCTCTATCTAACCACGCAAAGCTGCTTGTATACTGCTGCCATCAATGGCCGTCAGTCTTGGACCATGTCTTCTCCCGTTCGGCTCAGATCCATCGAGCGCCCTGGCATATGATTCCAAAGCTTCCAGAAGCTTTGGACCTCGGATCGGGACCGGGACGGCGGTCCGTTTGGACCGTCCTCAACCCGTGGATCACATCGGGCGGGCCTTGCTCCACGGCGCCGAAACTCGAAACTCGGCGAAGGCAAACACGTTCAACCACTGCGTTGTGGAGCGTCAAGAGGCCCCAGATACTGCCGAGAGAAAGCTTTGGGTTTGAATCAGTGCGCCTAGAAGAACATGCTCCATGTTCTCCATGGACGAGTTTATATGACCCGCAGAATGGTGTTTGGCAAAAACTGCTGTTTCCTCGCAAAGTTGGCTACGCGTCCCCAAAAGAAAACTGCACTGCAGTATATAGAGACCTCCTACCCCCGCGATAGCTGCTAGCTTTTACCATCTTTGGGTGAGCCCCTCTTGGCCCGGTGGGACCCGCTGGACCCGCTGAGGCCCTCAGGCCGTCGAGAAGCTCGCCACCTGCGTGTGGGTGGCTCGTAGCGGGCCGTGACAGCAACCAGGACCTTCCCAGTGATCTTTTTGGAGTCCCTAAGTGACCTCAAACCAGGGGATCAAGTTCGGTCACTGGGAAGATCCAGGAAATGAGACTTTCTCTTTTGATGATGATTGGTACCTGTTTGGTTGTCTCCATTGTTCTCTTTCACATCATTTTGACGCCCGATGCCTGAAGGTCATGTACTGGACATTGCCAAACGATTCATCGGGGAGCCCTTGAATTTCGATGGCATGGAAGTGACACAGTGTTAGAATGTCCTTTACTATGGCCTGTTTCCTTTCACAACCCGGCAGTCCACTTCCCTGTTTCATTTTGGAAGCACAATGCACCCCACAACTGTCAACTACAGCTCAGAACCCTTCATCTAAACCAGGTTCTATTCAGAATGATTGAGCGATGGGACCCGACAGCCAACACCCGGTTCCATAGCTCAGCATCTTTGATCTCCTTGCTTCCTCGGATTCCTGCGCCCATTCAATCATATAATTCAATCATTTCGGGGACCCCCCCGGCAACCTCCAATCACTCCACTTCGCGGAAACCATCCTTATGGGTAGCATCGGAATAGGCCGAGGACTTGTCGTTGGACTGCATGATCCTCGTTGGACTGCATCGTCAGATGTGATCGTTGTGTGGAAAGCAGGGGCTGTAAGAGTCAAACCCTTCTGCAAATCAATGTCGGCCCTTGAGGCAATAAGTTTCGGGTTTCACGTTCTTGGGATTCAAAACCACCCCAAACGCGAGAAGGTCGCACGTCCAAAACCCAGTCTTCAGGCGAGAGATTGCTTTGACGAGTTCCCCCAACCTCCGGGAGAGATGGCCTCGTCCAAAAGGTTGAGCTTCCCGTCCAAACCCCTCAAACCCCTCACCCCCGCCCACTTCTTCTGGGGCAAAGCTGGAGGAGTTGTTTTCAACAGCAAAAAGCCCCACTTTTCGCTCAGCTGCTGCTCCCAAATGGACCATGTGTAGCGCAAGGGCAAGTCCTCCGCGTGGCTCGTCGGCATGCGTTGGTCACGTCACGGATGTTCACCATGCTGCATTGTGGTTGGGTATATGCTGTATATACCTTGGATCCATCCCATATTGGCCAGTAGGGCGCAGCTGGAGATGTCATCAAACTCAAGCCCTTCTTTCGGGAATCACTTCAGCATTTACAAGTATATACCACCACCAGTGATTTGGCATGGAAGACTGCTAAGGGATACATCGGCGCTGAAAAGGCGTGCGTTGGAGAAATAGGAATCGGCATAGCGACCGGGCTTGTCCATCACAAACGTCCCTCAGTTTGTTCGACCTCTCCAGCCATCTCGGCATCTACGAGTACTACACGACTACTACGGAACAGGAGAGGGAGATACAAAGAGTTCGATAGCACACGAGTTCGAGGTGCACCGAATGACAAACCATAGCAATCCAGATCAAAATCCCACGATTTGAGAGTGCGCGCAGCATCGCGCAGCCCCCTCAAGCAACTTCAAAGCAAAAGATCTCAGCTCATCAGAGGAGATATAGGGGTGGGCCCCCCAAACGACTCGTGGTAACGCCCACCCACATGGGTGACTGTCGTCACGGCTATGCACACCCGGCAGAAACCTCTAGTCATCGACCGAGTAGATGATGTCACACCAGCGCTTCAGCAGTCGCACCAGCGGTCCAAACGTGGTTTTGGGGCCAACACGAAACGGCGAACAAATCCGAACAACCAATCAATGATGGCAGATTTCAACATAGATAGGCGATTGAGGGCCTCGTCCTGGAGCTGCCATTGCAGTTCAAAAAATCACAGAGGTTCTCTTACCGCCCTCTGGCTCACACACTGGAGCTAGCTCGTGCTTGCAGTCAGTGATGGTCCATGATGTCTTGGGGCTGCCATTCTGCCACAGACTGATCGGGTTCCAGTTCCAGGAAAACGAGACACTACGTCATCGAGTGGTACTGAGGGCTCAGCATCCTCTTTGGTGCCGAAACATTGCTTAAGGCTTTCCACCGGTTCATGCTTAGTGGGGAAGCCAATTGCCAAAACAGGTTAAGGGTCATTCACTGGCTGAGTAGGATCATGCAGTCCAAAGGCAGCGCGAGCAGTCCTTCTTCAGCATATCATCATTCTCATCGGCACCATCAGTGGTGAACTTCAGGTTGGCGTTGAAGCCTCACATAATCAAAAGTCCAGTTCTATGCCTTCCCCCCTGGGTGCCAGATAAGACCGCGCTTCGGCAGTGTCAGTGCTGATCCTCGCAAAAGATCAACAAAGCTGCATTCAAAAAAAGCATGACAAAGTGCAGCTTCAACAGTGAGAAAAGAAGTGATATCAAAAACATACAAAAACACACAAGCTCATAAGATGTTGCATTCGGATCTCATCGTATTCCTATTTGGCTGGCTCTTCTCTGAGGCTGAGACTTTCGTTGAAGCTGAGGAATGCCATGCCTGAGACATCCAAAGCACCGTGTACTTTAGCTTGTTGGCCGATGCCAAAGCATAGGACCCAGGGATAGGGAAGGGATAGGCTATTTATATAGACCATGAGACCATCGTTGACCAGTTCAGGTTGCTTGACTCCATACGATTCAAAAAAAAAACACACAGGTTGCTTGACTGTCCGGGACATGACAAATGGATTGCTTGAAGGTATCCGTTTTGATCCTTTTTTGCATGAGACTTCCAACAGCGGAGTTCGGGGCCATGCACACCAGACTCTACTTTGAGAGTGGGCGTTGGCAACTTGTCCCACTGCGAGGCAGAAACTCTGGGCTCCCTTTGAGGCTGTCTCGTGACAGAACTCACCTGCGTGAAAACTTCAACAAGAAGACTCAGGCTTTGCAAGCTTGGCACCTCTTCCCTACCTTAGCAGCTTAAGCATTCATCGACAACCCGTTACGGTTTGATGGTCAAACCCGCGACTGGCTCGCAGCCCAAACCGCATGGGCTCATGTTCCCGCCATACGCACTACATGTAGTAACTGTAGCCATCCCCCTTGGTCACTGTCTCAGATCAATTCCTCAAGTGGCCCGCCTGCCTCAGCCCCCCCCGAGGTCAGACGTCCAAGGCATCAGGGATGACCATTTCAGAGCAATCATACTTCTGGTGACCTGTCCAGTTACTACATGGGCGGCCAACACATGGGAGATGTCCTCGCTCTCATTTCGGCATTTCGATGCCAAAGATCTTTACGACTCAAGATCGAGCACATCTATTCGTCTACAGCACGCAACCCCGAGAAATAGGTTCCTCGACATAGACGTGCTTCTTCCTCTTCTGTCAAACTGATGCCTCAAACTCCTGACACCGGAGCAGTCGTCAGTCGTGAGGTTCAAACATTTTCTCAGTGAGTGGCATTCCTGGACCACGCCCAAACAAGGGGCACCGACCTCTAAATCCTGCCGTTTCTTGGTGCATCTTGACGATGGCAAATGATTGAAAGGGTGGCAAAGTT